GCTATAAATCATTGGCTCTCCCTCACCCCGTGTTGTATGCAAGCGCATGAGTGCGAAGGTGACAGCTATGAAAAAACATGTAGCCCACCTCAGTGGAACAGTGGGTATACGGTGCTCGGCTGCCAACCTGAAAGTCGTAGGCTCAATCCCGGCCATGGCGGCAGCATTTTGATAGAGGCGAGTTGATAGAGGCTTGTGTACTGTGCAATGTCAGTGCGGGTTAAGGAACACCATATGGTCAAGATTTCCGGAGCCCTTTGCTTCGGCGTCTTTTATAATATTATCAGCGTCTCTTATAATAATATCTATATTAATAATGTGGAAGTATGTGCAACATCGTTGCACATAATCGCAATATGACAAGTTTTAAGCTTCATTTTAACGTGATAGTGATAAAGTAGCCATAAAATGGTTTCACTGAAGGAGCTTATTTGCTCACCAACTTTCCATCGCAAAAATTTTCGGAATCCATCCAGTATGAGGAGAAGCTGCAATTGCATTCTCGACGGGGGCACGGGGAAAAAAATACGTCAGCAACACTGCAGCTCCATTAGAAGATGAAGAATCAGGAATTCACAAATATAAATTATCAATATAGAAAATGAAACAGATAATTTCAGCAATGATAAATAAAATAATAATTAAATAAGTAAAGCAATTAGGAAACAAGTAATCTAGAAGTAATTGCTTCTACAGCCTGAATCTCTTTTTAACCTTAATAAACTCCTGAAATACATCGGCCAATTTCCCTTCACTGAATCCTAGAGACAAAGCCCCCCAAAAAGTACATTTCGAGTGTTTAACTCCAAGCTTATGAGACGGCAGATGGCAAAGCGGCATATCTTTTGCAACATACAGTGAAATCTCGGTAAAACGAACCCCACATTAACGAACTTTTCAGATAAACGAACTTTAAAAAAATCTCGTGCCGACTGTTAATAGTTTGAATGTAAAATTATTTCACTACTACGTACTTCAGAATAACAAGTGCTAATTTTGTTCTGCATTATATTAAGAATGCCTTAATACGGCGAACTCATGTTCTGAAATCCGAAGCGATTACTGGAGCAGTACGCAAGCAGCGAATGGACGCCTTGTTTCTCGGAACACGCATGACAATGCGGAGAGAAAAAAAAAACGGAAGGACGACTTTCTTTTCTTTCTTGTTGTTGAAACGCCGAAGCTGCAGGTTTACAAGCGCCGAGGCGAGGGGCAAGGGCAACACGGAAGGGCAAGGTTGGCGAGATAGAGTAGGAGTTGCAGAGCAGGAAGCATGGGCGTGGAAAACCTGAGACAGCGAGAGAGCAGAAAATGAAATGCGAGGAATTTTCTTTTTTAGCTCTTTTTTTTTAAGGAAGAGGGGATGACAGCCACAGGCTTCAGCTTTTTTTCTGTCTTTGTCACTCCTACATGTGCTCCAGGAGGCCTTGTCAGTCATGCTAATTTCTTTTTGGTAATTACGTATCAAGTCCGCAAAACAAGTCGGCATTCATGCTGCGGTGCTACTACTATAGGAAGCATTAGAGTAACGTTTGCAGGCGCTGAAGGTGTCGCTGGCATAGCGAGCACCATAGGAGCTTTGAAATAGCGTTGGCCATCCTGCAACCGCATCGCACAACCGCAGCGACACCATAGCCTTGAAACCAGCGCTTTTCGGGTCACACACGCGACCGCTATTTCGGATTTTCTGCAGGAAGGCCGCGATTTGTACCGGCTACTCGGGTTACGACATATGCAGAGTGGCAGCGGCCGCACCGTAAGGGCTCGCGGTGCGCTATTCTAAAGCTTCATAATGAGTTCATCTCTGCTTGCGACGAAAAAAGCGAAAGCGCTTTTCACTAAGCGAGAAACTGGATCGCACCATCGAATCCCGACACATGAATGTGAATAAGCTGGAGGCCTTCGTCCTGCATAGTTTGTGCTGTATGCATCAAAAAACAAAACAAGACGAACTTTTTGAAGTAAATGTGCGCTTTTTAGTGTTCACTTGTGCATTTGTTTTTTCTCGCGAAAAACAAGTTCAAGGACCCAACGTTTTAAAGGTAAGTCATTTTGGTCGATCGAAAATAAGCATTTATGGTTAATTTTTGGGCTTTACTATAATGACCTTTTAAAATAATGAACGAATTGCCGCCGCCCTCCGAAGTTTATTGTACCAAGATTTCACAGTAGTAGATAATGGGACCCCAAACAAAAACCAATCATTAAGGGAAGCAGCTAGACCAGCTCTGGGCAAATAAGAATTGAGATAAGAGTTTGACACCGCAGCCTTGTTATTGCGACTTCAACTGCATACGTGCCACAAAATTTAGGTATCATTCCAGTAATGAGTTAGATGTTGCAACTCCATGGTCTTCAATATGGACGGCAGAGAAAATTCTTGTAACATTTTAGGAACCGAGTGCGCCATGCTGGAATCAGTCAATGGCTGATGCAAAGGCTGTGACGAGTGATTTTTGAGCTTGTAGCGTCATTTGTCGAAACAAGAAATGATTTTTGGCTGACTTTAATAAAGATTTATTCTAAATTCCGGGCTGCATGCTGCGCTATAATATTTGGCTTGTGTGTTTTTGGGAGCCTAGACTACGGATAGGTAGCGTTTTCTGACTATGCTCAAAACGTGTTGCAAAGCCCCTATAAGACTACGTAGTTGGTGCATAAGAAGTTCATAAACATTTCACGTGCTCATGGTTTAGAGCATGCAACTAATTACACAGAATGCAGCCATATGTGAAAGCTTTACTGACAGAAGCCACTATAAAATTTATAGATTACATTGTAGTAATCCACAATTTAAACTTCTTGAGAAGTTTAAATTTCTTAGTGAACCAGTGGTGAGTAGTGTTGTTCACCAAATTTGATGGAGACATGATAGGCCGAACAATGGCACGCTGAGAACGCTCGCTTGTTTGTTCTTGACCAAGTGGGCATACTTGGATAGGCACTTCTGCCTCACGCCAATTTTTTCTCTTGCTTACTACCATCTTACAGTGGCTCAACTCCTATATTTTCTGAATTTTGATGATCAGGGTAAAATAGCCCTTTCAATCCATTTTACCCACTGCCAAGGAAGGGCGTATCTCGGGGTTGGGTGGTAAAAGGGTATATAACATGCTAAAATGCCCACCCCTATGGCTGGGCTACTTCGTGTTAACAGTGTACACGCCCCCAACTCCGAGAGTTTGGCCCAGTTTGGCGTAATCATCTTATCAGGATGGCGTACTAAATCTGATTTCAAGCACTATGCGCAGGAGTGAAATAACTGCATTTACTGCAAATACCGTATTTACTTGCATTATTTACGCACTTTTTTTCGCAATTTCGGGGCTCTGACAAGAGGGTGCGAAATTACGTGGGGATTTCGCGTACGCATATTAAGTACTGTGCAATAGTCCTAAAGCAGGCAGTATATCCATTTGGAAAAAAAAAATAGTAAATTTGAGCACAAGCAAAGTGTACTTCCTAATTTAACACAATTAGCTCGTACTATAACCGGTCAGATCCGGTTAAGTGCGGTCTAATCGGAACCACTGATCGATCGCCTGATTGAGAATCATCGTCGCGGCCGCTTCACTACTCTTGCTCTCCCAAAGTGTATCGTCCTCGGTTTTGTCGAGCCTCTTCGAATGCCCCATTTTCTGAAGGCTCTTCTCGGCATTGCTGGGAGAAAGTGGATCTTACAATACGGCAATACCGGATGACCTAAGCATTCGCGCATGATTGAAAAGGCCTTTTTCAATGGCAGGAAACGTGTATTAGCAAGCACGCATTCTTTTGCTTCCTCCCATACCGAACGCACCAATCGTCACACGTTGAATTTCATGCTGAAATGTTCCTTTTTTTTTTTTTTGGCAAACTCTTTAACCACGAGCTTGAATTTTTTATATATATTTGCTGTAGCCCATCACAAGGAAATAATAATCGACAGACTGATGGCAGAACCTAAACTGCCAAAATTAACTAAGCGTGGGTTAAAGCACTGATGCAGAGAACGAGTGGAACAGTTGGCCCTCGCACTCCTTTGGTGCTGAAGGTTGTCTGAACCATGATGTGAGCGTGCATTCTCATGGTAGCAGGTGGTAGTAGACAGGTAGTAGAGATGGGGAGATAGAGAGAGGCAAACACTTGAGCAGTTCCGGCGACCCGTCAACAGGTGTGAGCATTCAAGTACAGCATGAGGTACGTTCGGGCGAGGTCCTCGGATGAAGAGACTTTGCACTTGCAGGCCATTGGACTGCACTCGCTTGCTTGACGAGGCGCTGCGCGCCCATCTATAGCATCCAAAGGTCCAAAGTCTCCGTGCATGTGCCGGTGAGCAGGCGCGAGCGGGAAGGGGTGCACAAAATATGCGAATAAAAATTCTGTTTTTTTTTTTTGTAAAACTGGCAAAATACTTTGAGTGCCCAAATTATGTGAGTAAATATGGTAACATCCCCTATAAAGTCCTTGGTATTATTGTCTATTAATTGTTAGTTCTGTTTATATAGTGTCTAACAAAAAAAAATACAGCCCTCAAAATTTTCGCTTCCTTCATTGATATAGCGAATGTCTTGTTCTTAGAGCTTTCAGGAAGTATGGGAGGAATGGTCAGCTGCGAGCTCGTAATGATAGGTCACAACAACTGGCAGATGAAAAGTGTTCCCCATCATGGCTACAAGGCTAAAGCGACTAATGCTTTCTCCTTTATATGCACATGTACTGCACATTAGAACATGTATTTTGCATTTATTGTGCCTATATATGCACATCAAGCGGTTGACAGCCACAGTAGCTAGTTGGTAGGGCATCGGAGGTGTTATTCAAAGGTCGCAAGTTCGATCCCCGCCCGCGGCAAGTTATCTTTTTGTCAACTTTTCTTTCTTCACATTTACATTACATTTGCTACAAATACCACCGCCTATAAAATCCTCGGTATTATTGTCCGTTAGGTCTCATCAATTCGTCATCATGTGGCAAAATGACTTCTTCCATGAGTTGCTGGCCATGCAAGCTGAGCTCACCTTTGTAATGAGTCCTGTCTGCATCTCCTGAAGAGTTCCATCGACAAGGCCATCAATTTTGCTGTGGTACTGGTGCTGTAGAACAACAAATGTGCACAATTAATCCTCTGGTTTTGTAATCACACGGTAGTCTCATTTGACAACCTAAGAACTGTGCATATCTGTTAGGTTCATTTATTCACTTATACGTGAATCAACAGTCTGTTAAGGCACAACGTAAAAGGGGGTTGAGAAATATAACAGGTAGTGAAGATATATGCAGGGCACACACACAAAAAATGCAAAAATGTATCTAATATGCCAATTTCTATGGCTGTATTGCCAACATAAACACCATTGAAGTGGTGCACCACATTGGATTAGTTGTGCTTGGCTGCAGACATGAATATCGCAGGTTCGATCCCGGCCGCTGTCGTCGTATTTCGGTGGAAGCCCGTGTACTATGCGATGTCAGGACACGTTATTGAAGAACACCACATGGTGGTCAAAATTTCTGGAGCCCTCCACTACAGCATCTCTCATATTTATATCATGCTTTCAGGACGTAAAATAGTAATATTACCGTGGTAGTGATTCTCAATAAAGTAATTTGCACAGCAATATATGAAACATAGTTTGAGGAAATTCAACATCCCAAAATACAACTGTAACAAGTATTCCGCATCACATACTATCTCAAGGTGAAAGATGCGCTTTAATGATATCCACGAACACTTCGTAAGCCCCTAACATTTCCGCCTCCATCAGCCGGTATTCAATCCCGCGACCTGCGGGTCAGCAGTTGAGCGCCATAACCAGCGAGATAGATAGTTTACGGAATGTTTCTTACCAAAAACGTCATCAAGGCCGGTTGAAGTGGCGATGGTAGCGAGACATGAAGTTTAACAGAGCCAATAAAGACGAGCCCAAGAAAGAGGTTGACATCTTATCTGGTGTCCCTTGAGCTGTCAGACATCATGAACCAACTTTGGCCAGCTTTAGTCCACCATGGTGGGTTATGGTGCCCGGCTGCTTACCCGAAGGTCGTGGCTTTGATCCCGGTCGCGGAGGTCATATTTCGATGCACGTTAAATGTTACAGACTGTGCAATGTCAGCACAGGTAAAAAACAGCAGGTGAAAAAAATTTCCGGAGCACTCCCCTACAGCATCTCTCACGTAATCATACCGTTGTTTTGGGGCGTCAACCCCAAATTTTATTATTATTATTATTATGAGCCAGCTTCTACTTTAACTCTAATGAGGGAGAAGATGGTCACACGCGGAAGTGCATTGCCATCACCTGGCTCGCTCGGCTGTTCGCTCCCTGGGTAAGCTTTGCCTGCTGTTGCTGCTATCTTCCCCAGTCGCTGTGTGCCTAAATAAACCAACGTAACAAGTGATGGAGCTGCTGGGTAACGACAACCTGGAACTTGCAGCCAGAAACTCAAGCCAGCCTCTGCAATGCCGAATGAAGTACCAAATCAACCGCAGCAACAACCTGCTGTCCCAATGCCTAAATTGGTCTACCCTGGCCCATCACGTCAACCCGACTCACCAATCTTCAGCGGTACAGAAGAGAAGGATGTTGAAGACTGGCTTACTGAATATGAAACAGGTAAGAGCGACCAACCCCTGGGATGACACCACGAAGCTCAACTGTCATTTTATTTGAGCAACGTCACCAGCGTGTGGCATCGAAACCACCTACGCGACTTTCCAACGTGGGCTGCTTTTAAAACGCACGTGACAGAAGTATTCAGGCTCCCCGCTGTTTGCAAGCTTAAAGCCGAGCAATGGTTGCGTGGCCGTGCGCAGCAGAATGGTGAAACATTCACTAGCTACATTGAAGACGTTGTCGACCTGTGTAACCGCGTTGATGTCGCAATGGCCGATGCTAATAAGATCAGGCATATTTTGAAAGGGATTAAAGACGACACCTTTCAGATGCTGCTGGCAAAGACCCCATCCACAGTATCTGAACTTGTCTTTGCCAAATTTTTGATGAGCTGCGCAAACAACGCACAGCCATGCGCCACTCTCATCCACAGGCGACTTCAATGTCGAGATTGATTGTTGCTCCTGACAACTCATTTCTGATGCTACAGATTAAGGATTTCGTCCGTAAAGAGGTCGCTGCCCAGTTTTCCCTGATACCACTTGTTCACGACCGGTCAAATTTTCCGTTGGCGCCTGCTCTCCAAAACATCATCATGAACCAGGTCGCCGAAGAAGTTCCGCCTCCTCTCCATCAGGCTCCGACTGCTGCTCCGACTGCTGCTCCGCTGACGTACGCCGCAGTCAATTCCAGGCCTGTGATGCAAGGTTACAGTGCACGTAGTTCGCCTATTCGACCGTAAGTATCGCCTCCCACCAGCCCAGTCGTACAATACGCACGAGCCGATGACCCCTGGCGCACGGAAGACAACCGTCCTATTTGTTTTCATTGTAGCCTTGTTGGACATGTGGCCCGTTACGGTCGCTTTCGTGCACCACCTATCTCCAACAGTGTAGGTCCACCATGGGTCACGTATGCGCCACGTCAGCCCCGCCGCAGTTATTCAAACGACTACAAATCTGATCTTACCTCCCGGACCCCACCCTCCTCTCGCCGCTCACCTTCTCCTCAGCGCCGCTCCCTTTCCCCCATGCACCGACGGTGGAGCCCTGTGCGCCAGGAAAACTAAGTAGTGCAGCTCAGGAGGCGAGAACTGCGGTTCCGGCGAAATGCATAAGGCCTCAAACTTCTCCCTAAAATGTTATTGAAGTCGCTATAAAAAGAACATAGACGCTAGCCCTTGTCAACACCTACGCTGCGCTTTCAGCGATTGATGCCGGCATTTGCCACTATATCAGAAAAGTCACGACGCCTGTTTTTGGACTATCCCTTCATACAGCCAACGGGCAGCACGTTGAGCCGTCCAGTGCCTGCACAGTCCATGTCGTCATCCAGGATGTTCTTTATGTGATTGAATTCACCATGTTGCCATCTTGTTCTCACGACGTCATATTAGGGTGGAATTTTTCCCTACACAATGTGCGATCATCAATTGCGCCCGCGCTGAATTCGAGTTGTTCCCATTTTTGACAGACATCATCGAATGACAAAGACACTTGTCGCAAAATTGCAGTTTGTGACGACACCATTGCACCTGCCCAGTCTACTGTTCTTGTTTCTATTTCTTGTGACTCTGAAGACGACGGCTCAGTGCTTTTCGCACCATCTGCACTTGTAGTTTGTCGCCGATCACTGCCATTGCCATTTGCCTGTTCTCGAGTTCCATTCAGGCACCTCTGTGATGTACATCACCAATCCATCCACCGAGGCAATCACTTTGTGCCGCCAGGAAACCCTCGGCAAAGCCAAGCCACTGGCGTCATCTTCGATGTTTGACACCATGAATGACCCCACAATTATGGCCACCCTCAAGAAACTCGTTGGCCCCTACCAGCGATCTTTCACACCAGCTATAGCCAGCGACCTTACGAAGACACAATGAGACCAACTTCTTCGCTTGCTCGACGATTTCTCTTCCTCTTTGACTGCCAAGCAAATGCACTCGGCCGCACAGCGACTGTTTCGCATACTATCGACACCAAAAGCCATGCACCCATTCGGCAGCGTCTCTACCGAGTATCGGCAAGTGAAAGGCGCCTTACCGATGAACAGGTGAATGACATGCTTAAACACGATGTCATTCAACCTTCCAACAGTCCCTGGGCATCACATGTCATCTTTGTTTGGAAGAAAGATCGCACAATACGATTTCGCGTCGATCACTGCCGGCTTAACCAAATTACCCGAGAGGATGTGTACCCGTTGCCATGAATTGATGACACACTGGACTGCTTGCAAGCAGGTGAGTTCTTTTTGTTTCTTGGATCTCCACTCTGGCTACTGGCAAGTGCCCATGGCTGAAATTGACCACTCGAAAACCGAGTTCGTAACACCAGATGAATTGTACGAATTTACTGTAATGCCATTCGGTCTCTGTAACGCGCCTGCCACCTTTGAATGCATGATAGACTGCATTTTATGCGGCCTGAAGTGGCACACTTGCCTCTGCTATTTAGATGATATTGTTGTCTTTGCGCCAGATTTCCCCACCCATATACAATGATTGCATCAAGTTTTGACATGTGTCCAAAATGCCAGTCTTCAGCTGAACTTGAAAAAGTGCCTATTCGCCGCTAGAAAACTAACTATACTAGCCCATGTCGTCTCCAAAAAAGACATTCTTCCCGATCCTGCTGAACATCACGTCGCATCCGAGTTCCTGAAGCCTACTAACTTGAAAACACTACGCACCTCCCTTGGTCTATGCTCCTATTTTCGGCGCTTCGTTTAAAATTTTACTACTGTCATCACACCTCTCAATGCAAGGCGACAGCGAACTATCTACCTGGTCAGAAGCTTGTGACAATGCGCTTACGACAATTCGACTCCTGCTTACGTCTCCACCAATTTTGCATCACTTCGCTCCGAGCGCACGCATAGAAATTCACACTGATGCTGGTGGTGTTGGCCTTGGTGCTGTGCTCGCACAACGTGACGATGCCAACGACGAATATGTGGTTGCATATGCCAGTCGCGCGCTCACAAAACCTGAGACCAATTACACCGTAACCCAAAAAGAGTGCCTGGCCATCATATGGGCTCTACGGAAGTTTCGCCTCTATCTTTATGGTCGTACTTTTGACGTCGTAACAGATCACCACGCTTTGTGTCGGTTGTCAAACCTCAAGAATCCGTCAGGTTGACTCACTCAGTAGGCCCTCCGACTCCAGGAATACGACATCCGTGTCGTATATCGTTCTGGCCAACAACACTCTGATGCTGACGCCTTGTCACGCTTCCCACTCATTTCAGACACTAACGCATCTAGTCACAATCACAGTATTTTGCCACTTGACATCTTGGACATGGCATCTGAGTAACGAAATGACGCATGAATCACCACACTTCTAAACTTTTTGTCAAGCCCCCTGACCACCCCGGCTCCACTAGCGCTACACCGCCAGGTACATCCGCAATGGTCTTTTATACCGCTGTAACTATCCGCAATGATGGCCTCACATGGTTAGTGGTCGTGTCCCG